AATTCCTTTCAAGTCAGCTGTTTGTTGGCCCTCTCCTTGATAACCGCAAAATGATGAAACTGCTAAAACTGCGCGAATGATCCGCGATATCCTTCAAATTCTTGTCGCGATTAAAAATTAAGAAGATTGTGAATCTCAATATGTGTACACATATGTTGGTTGAACGATAAAGGGAACGATGAGTTTTTATAACTCCCAGAAGAAAGAAAAGCGAGAAAAACGGAGACAGCGATAGAGATCAGAAACCAACAATAAGTCGATATTTTCAGCGGATATACGAAGAGACTCCCTCGACGGAGAATTATTAGAGAATCCTGATAATAGACGACAGTGGCGATTGTAAACTTACAATACCTGCTGTGGTATTATTACGGTTTCTTCTCTTTGGCTCTTTTCTTTTTTCTTTGATACATTCGTCTTACGGCAAAAGCACCGCAAATGTGTTATAAAGCTATGGAGACAAATAAAGGCAAAGCTTTTTATTTGTACAAAGAAGTCAATTAAAGGTACTTGTATTTCACGGCATATTTCATCACCGATTACTAATATTATTCGTTAAAATTGAAAAATAATAACGATTCATTGCAAATGCAAAATTGTTTTGTATATGCCTGATCAAGTTACTCGTGAATTAAATTGCCTTGAAATACAATATATGCCTCGTTTCGCTCTAACAAATTATAATTTCATACATAAAAAGCTATCGTATTTTCTGATATAATGCAGATGAATTGTGTTTAAAAGCATTAATACCGAATATTGGCAAATTTAATTAATAATCCTGCAACCGAAAATCACATAACTCTAATTACACGTCTCGCAGCAACATACTAATATTTGGAACTCGACATAAGCTTCACTTTTAATACTAATGTAATCCGTGTTAGCTCTTTCATCGCCGAAGGCGATTACAGTTGGCGAACGCATTTGCATCTTTCACGTGCGTGGCAGCGATTAAAACTTCGTGATGGTTTCTAAATATAGCCACAAAAGTGAAGAGAGAGGGTGGGAGAACGTACGTTGAACGTTCAATTAATGCTCCCTTCCCCCCCTCCCCCCCTCGTGGATGACCTTAACGGGCTCTTTATCTCTCGTTTGAGCAATGAGGGATAAGTTTGCTCATCTCACACGTAAAAAGAGCGAATCGATCACAGTAGAGGTGCTTTTAGTTGGACAGCCTCGGTAATCGCGAGAATAATAAATTTGCGGTCCACGGAGACAGATGAGTTCGGACGTGAGTACGTCGGATTTATGAAAAGGGTAAACTAACTGTACGGAAGTACCCAGTCCCCAGGACAAGTGCGGGAAGATTTATAACGCGATGAAGAAGCGCATCTCTCTCCTTGCCGACACGCAGGAAGCTGCGAACAATGCGCGAAAAATAAATCGCCAGGTTATGCGGATTAGACACGTCGCACCGCACGACGAACCGCAACACGAAGCGGGCAGGCTAACAATTCTGTAGGAACATATTTGTATCGCGTCGTTGAAAAAGAAGCATCGTGAAAGCATGAGCTCGATGACACGTGTACGTATTGTCTGTAATTCATAAAAAAAATATAAAATAAATTAGTAATACATATTTTGTAACGCTCGCTCCAAGGCAATACTCAGATACGAAGAACTCATCGGCAAAGCATTACATTATTATAAATTAATATATAATTATAATATTGTTATCTTGGATTTTGCATCTGCAAAATCGCATATGAGCCACGACATATGAGAGATGTCATTGGCAAGTGAAAAAATGATGAAACGAGAATTTAATAAAACCAACCTGTTCGAGTAGCCACACGAAGCTCACTGGAAATTCGTGTTTGATGATACGGCAACAATATTTCTACTCACTTTCACATCGAAACGTTATTTGCGAGATTGTTATGTTGTTACGTACACAATACCGCTGCCGCTGCTGCACAGTAAAAAGGAAACGTAGTGAAAAAAAGTGATGAAAAACGAGAAAACGTAACACGAGGAAAATAACAGAGTTGTTACTTTCGAAAATGGACAACATCAAAGCAGAAAATTTCACACCGTGGAAGGCACCGCACCGGAGTTTCTGATTCAACGTATTTCGCGAGATGTTCTCGCGTCGTGCCCTCAAAAATGTCAAGATTCGAAACGTCAAGGTAAAAATTAATTTCCGCGTAGATACGTAAAGACAGGTGCACAAAATGCAAAGTCGATATCTTGATGCTCGCTTCTTATCTAAGATAAGGATCTCCGATTTTAATAACGAAAATCATAACAATAATAATCGCGCTGTAATAGCATTTGGTAGTACTGTCGCACGCGATATCCGCACGTATCCGATGCCTTGAACGTGGCAGATGGAGTTAGATATTATTACAAGGTTTCAAGTTGATTGTGCTTAAATTATATGTTTCGAGATTCGTAATCCCGTTCGCTCGTTAACCGCGGCGGTGTGTTCGCATGTGTGCCAAGGACGGAGTTTAGTTCCTATCGCGCAATTATGTATTACCTGGACCACGGAATGTATTGTGGTTTTCGACTATTTTTGCAGCCGGTCGATTTGCATGTAAGAAAGCACCGCTTTGGTCGATGTGAGCTCGCGTGATGTCGTGATGCGAAAGTAACACTTGATTATGTCATCTGAAATTAAAAATTATTCGCAAGCGTACAAAGTGGTGAAATGTCATCTGGAAAAAGTGTATCTCCATTTGTGAAAAATATTGTACAATATATATCATAATTTTTTGATGGTACGTAAAATAAATTTCGTTAATATGCAAAGAGAGATTTCAAAGGTTTTTCGAAAAGTCACCCAATCTGTAAAATGATTTACTAGAGTAATCTCGCTTTATGGTACATATAAACTAAATATTTGAGCGGAATGCACTCTAACGGATTATAAATCATCGTCAGGGGGGAGATTCATCTCGATGACAGTTATATTAACGAAAATGGAGTATGTCACGTAATACTCGACTCCTGTCTCGTTCCTGAACGTATAAAAGTTATCCTGTGCCACCCTGACAACCCTTTCTTTATCTCAAGTTTTCTGCACAAAAAAAATATATATATATATATATAAAACTGCATAATTAAATATGTGTCACAACAGAATTATCGATCTCGTATTATGCGGCTAATTGAATCTTCACGAGTTTATTTTTGTCGCAGTGTGATTTTCCCAAGACTTACTCGCCTTATTTTTTGCGATCCTGATATCATCGCGATGTAAAGAAATATACACAAACGAGCGTACGTATCAGCAAATGTTCCTCTGGTCCTTAACCGGAAATGCAGTTATCCGGCTGAATGGAGTTTCTTCGCGAAGGCAAAATCGCTTTTAGAAAAATATCCGAACAAATGAAATGGAAGGTGATCGATTGCACCGAACATGGCAGCCAGTGCGTAAATGCAAATCCTCGAGCGCTCGCACCTCTTTCCGCGCATAGTCGGTCACTCTTTCGACGTGCGCAAATCGCTTTCGATCGCTTTGACTCGAACGAATTCAATTTCCCGGTCTGGTTAGACGTACCAATTCCGTCGTCGCTTCGCGCACGTAGCGTAAATGAGCATTCCCGATCGAAATAAGTAATGTACGAACCGTTTATAAAAAAATCCGTTTATATTTTATCGGCGATGACGAGATGAACTGCCGATAAGAACGGCGGAAACGATGGTGGCGCGCGCGATGATTCGCACGGAATTGAGAACTTCGCTCACGTCTGTCCACCGAGAGTGTCGGGATACACGTGGACGCCTCGTACATCCCTGTCAAATTTTCAAGTTAAAGAGATGACAGGCACGCGCCGGTCGGCACACACGATTGATTAGGGTCATCCCCGCGGCAACCGATGGACACAACACAAATAAACCAGGAGGACACCCTGGAGCGAACTCGCCCGCGAGCCGACCTGTCAGTAGACAGCCGACCGGTTTCTACGCGCAATATCCGCTTTCCAGAATTTCCAGAGAGACACGCCAGTGTGTATGGCGAATCCAAAAAAAAAAAAAATCGCCCCGGGAGAAGTTTTCTCGATGATGCCATAATCGGTCGGCGGTAGTATCCACCATCGAGGTTTCCACCCTCGAGTCGTAACTGGACCGCGAAGGCCGTGCCTTCCAGCCCCGCGTCCCAGTTCCACAACACGACGCTCGCATCGAGACCGTATTAACGATATTAAGCTCGATGTAGACGCAGTTGCGGTTAATCGCGCAGAAAAGCACCGAGTCGAGTTTCCCTGAACTTTTCGCGCCGGCAAATTGAGGCCGAATGCGCTTTCAATGTCCTTCGCGAGGAAGAACGAGCGAAAGAACGTCGATAAGTGATATTGCGCAACTCCCGGAGTTTCGATTTGTATCGCTTAAAGCGGTATCTCCCTTCGCCACGAACAACCCGAGCCGATTACGTCTGCCGTTTTTCTTCTCGCCGAGTTCCGCTGCGTTTGAAGCTTCCAATTATTCGGAGAACGAATTCCCATTCACATTCCCACTCGCGATCATGCTGTCCGGTCGACGTGTCGCGATAATTTGCATGCTGTGCGTTCTCTCAACGAGCTTTACAGCTCACGGAGCAGAGGACACATCGAGCGGTGATAAACAGAGACCAACTCGATCGAGACCGGTGAATCTTTGTAAGTTCCGTTCGTTTGATTTGAAAGATTATCTTACACAGCGCGATAATCGATATTATATTATCAATGACGATGTATCGTTATCTCGGTTGTCTCTTAATTAACCGAACGAAGGAAAAAGATTCATACTCTATTCGCTACATACAGAAGGAGAGAGATTTCCATTCTCGCGAGAAAGCGAGAGGATAGCTTTTTAGGCCAGCCATTAAGGTTTTTGAGCGATCCAATGCGCGATAACTGCTTTTGTCTCACAACGCACGGTTGGAGTTTCTCATTAATTTGCGGCAGTAGAAGCGTCCTAAGATGTTACACTTAAGATTAATCGTCTGACTTAGCTTCCCCTTCTGTTTTTTCTTACATGTCACGTCGGCGCGATGCTTTTTCTCCAATTAGTTATAATTAATGGTCTGAAGAACGAGGTGGCCAATGCGAGCGTGACCGACGCTTTGAAAGCTCTGAGGGAGAAGTATCCGGGTCACCTGGGCGATATGTGGTCCGTACAGATCAACGAGAGCGATTCCAGCGACAGCCTCGAGGCTATATGCAACGCCTGGAGCTCGGCCATCAGCAGGGGTGGCACAACTGTTCCGGATCTGGTCCTGGACGTGACGAGGATCAATCTGGACGCCGAAGCCTCGAGTTCGTTCACCGCGGCCATAGGGGTTCCGACCTTGTCAGCTCAATACGGTCAAGAGGGTGATATTCGCTCTTGGAGAGATCTGGACCTCGATCAAAAGAACTATTTAATCCAGGTAACGTATTCGCGCGCAAAAAATTCCGATTGAGATTCTGAGTAAAGGACTGTAACTTGTCCATTCATATTTATATAATATATGTGTAATATAATGTAGAATATCAGATAGCTACTGTGCTCAATATAGCTTCATATATTTTACATTGTATAGCACATAATTTAAATGCTTATAAGTAATTCGACAAACTTGAAATGTGCGGTCTACTCTCCAGTTTTAAAAGTTTTTAAATATTTCTCTAAACGTTTTTTTTGCAATTTCCCGTAAAGTCCGATGGATTTTGTTCCAGATAATGCCACCGAGCGACCTCGTGCCCGAGGCGATTCGTCAGATAGCGAGCCAGATGAACATCACCAATGCTGGCATCCTCTACGACAAAAACTTCGTTATGAACCACAAGTACAAGAGTCTGCTATTGAATGTGCCGACCAGACATGTTATTAATCCTCTTCAGGACTCAATCGATAACGTAAGGGAACAATTGTCAAAGTTGCGGGACTTGGACGTGATCAATTATTTCCTGCTCGGCGACGGGAATTCCATCAATATGCTATTGGACGCCGGGGAATCGTTGGGTTTTATCGGAAGAAGGTACGGTTGGTTCATCTTGACTCTGGACGAAGAACTGTGGCCGAGTTGCGAGTGCAAAAACATCACTGTATTGTTCCTAAGGCCGGAACCGCCGACGGTGAACGACCAATCGGAATCCGTTATAAGGGCAAAGCTCCCGAAACCGCTTATCATGTCCGCTTTTTATTACGACCTAACCCTGTTGGGTGTCAGAGCGATGAAATCGGCCCTGGACGATGGCGACTGGCCCTTGGAACCCCATCACATCGACTGCAATAGCTACGACGAGACGAACACTCCGTCGAGAGGCCTAGACTTCCTGGCTAAACTGATGGCGGTATCAAAGAATATGACGCCGACATACGCCAACATTAGCTGGGGCAGCAAAAACGGGGAGCATCAAGCGGACTTTAAGATGTCCGTATATCTGGTGAACATCGAGCAGGAAAAGATTACGTCGAAAGAGGAGAGCGGAATATGGCGGGCGGGCATCGAGACGCCCTTGCAGGTAAGCCCAACTGCTTGGAACGAGACGTAGCGTAGAAACATTGAAGCGACATTAAAATTGATTTCCTAACTGTTCGCCGGCATCGAGTCGCCGAAATCGATCGATCATAAAAATGAAGGGATTCCGTGACGTGTTACCATAAGTAATTTTCTTCCGGTTGAACTACTACAAAAACCGTTTCCGATATGCCGCGGCCTTTTCGATTTTTCTTCCAATTCCCGAGTGCCATATATCCGCGGATTATTGATCACGCTTGACCGTCGTGCCTCGACCGAGCGACGTTTATGCGATCGATGGCTCATATATATTTCTTTTTCCATCTATATTGCACCGCCCTCCAGATAGCTTCGGAAATAATTCGGTAAAGGGAGCAAATCGATCGTTGTTGCCGAATTGGGATTCGGTATCGAAATATTGCTCGAGTCTATTTGAACTCTTCTGATTATCCGTTCGTTTGCGAGGATCGCGTCCGCATACGATAACGAACACTGGTCACAAAATGAAGGATTTCTTTTCAAGCCGACTTCGCATATTCCCCGCAAAGCGCATTAAAGTGCACAACTCTCTGATAATATGAGCTATTCATTAAGAGAGATGCGATTGTGTCGCAAAAAAAAAAGTCTTTCGACTTTTTGCCCTTCTTTTTTATTAACCGGTGTCGCCGTCCATATCTGCCTCTCGTTGTCGCTTCGCTAATGACTCTCGCTTATCTGTCCTGGAAAAAGTTCAAGGTGGTAAGGTGGTCATATACACTTATTTACTCGCGCATTACATCGCGCCACGAAAGCGTCACGAAAGCACACCCTTCTGCGTATTTAGTTACAGTCGGTTCGTGCCTCGCGCTACTCCTCCCCGGGGGGAGGATATATTCGGAGGATTTTGGGGGTAGCTTCATACGATAATCCTGTCAGTCCCTGTGTTGAGCTTATTTGTCATTATTGTCTCTGCGGGTCTTCGCTTATCGAGAGAATTTGCGTTCTGTAAAGGTCACCAACGAGAAGATCATGAACAATACTGCGATAACGAGCTACAGGGTGGTCACCGTGAAACATCCGCCCTTCATGATGTACAACAACGAAACCGATCAGTGGTACGGCTTCTGCATGGATCTGCTAGATGCGATTCGCGAGACCGTGCCGTTCGAGTACGAAATACGCGAGGTGGAGGATCACGAGTACGGCTCGTTGAGTGAAAACGGCACTTGGAACGGCATGATGAAGGAACTGATAGATAAACGCGCCGACATCGCCCTAAGCTCGCTCTGGGTCATGGCGGAGCGGGAGAAGGTCGTGGATTTCACGGTGCCCTATTACGACCTGGTTGGCCTCACGATCATGATGCAAAAGACGAAGACGTCGACGTCGCTCTTCAAATTCCTCTCGGTGCTGGAGACCGAAGTCTGGCTCTGCATACTGGCGGCATACTTCTTCACCAGCTTCCTCATGTGGCTCTTCGACCGTTGGTCGCCGTACAGTTACCAGAATAATCGCGACAAGTATAAAGATGACGAGGAAAAGAGGGAATTTAATCTCAGGGAGTGCTTCTGGTTTTGTATGACGTCTCTGACTCCCCAAGGTGGTGGCGAGGCGCCGAAAAACTTGTCGGGAAGATTGGTAGCGGCTACATGGTGGCTTTTCGGGTTCATCATCATCGCGTCTTACACGGCAAACTTGGCGGCCTTTCTCACGGTGTCGAGATTGGAGATACCTATCGAAACCTTGGAGGATTTGAGCAAGCAGTATAAAATACAATACGCTCCTACGGTGAAATCGCCGGCATATGTCTACTTCCAAAGGATGGCGGACATCGAGGGGCGCTTTTACGAGTAAGCGACAATCTTTAAATTATATTTTTATACATAATTTTTCTAAACGTATTTTAAATTGTCGTAGAATTTGGAAAGATATGAGCTTAAACGATAGCTTGTCGGACATAGAAAGGGCGAAACTAGCCGTCTGGGATTATCCTGTTAGCGACAAGTATACAAAAATGTTCCAAGCCATGAAAGAGGCTGGCTTTCCGGCCACTATCGACGAAGCGTTAAAGCGAGTTCGACGGGAGGATCAGTATAAGAATAACGAATTCGCTTTTATCGGAGACGCTTCGACCATCAGGTATCTCGTTATGACCAACTGCGATTTGACTCAAGTTGGAGAGGAATTTTCAAGGAAGCCATACGCTATCGCCGTCCAACAAGGATCACCGTTAAAGGATCAATTTAACAATGCGTACGTATTTTTATCTTTAGTACAAATCAACCTCTTCTTAAATCAATCTTTTTTTTTTTACAGAATCCTCATCCTCTTGAACAAAAGAAGATTAGAGAAGCTGAAGGACAAATGGTGGAAACATAATCCCGCCAAAAAGAATTGCGATTTAGAAAATAATCAGAGCGACGGTATTAGTATTTATAATATTGGCGGTGTGTTCCTCGTAATTTTCGTGGGAATTATCTTCGCTTGCTTTACGTTAGCCTTTGAGTATTGGTACTATCGACATCGTGCGAAAGTCAACGAATTGCATTCAACTACGCCTCCGAAGATGATGAAGTCAATCAAGCCGATTCGGTTTAATTTGCATCCCGCCCCCACACACGAGTTTCAAACAATCTCACAATTTAGATCGAGATTTTGAATTCAAATACTCAGATTTGTGGAATATAAAGAACAAGTATAAAATTGTCGCACAAAGGAACGAAATCGTTTGTAGACTGTATATATGTATATATACAGTATACAGTATTTTTTTTAATATATATATATATATATATATATACAACAGTATTATGTATATATACTGTATATTGTCAATTGTACGTTAATGAGATTTTAAATTCATGTTTATGAATTTTCATATCGATGTAACACACAACAAAGCGGTTATTAAACCATATGTCATTTTCATAGAATGAATTTGCATATTTTTAGTATACATACTCTGCGATAAATCTAAATAAGTTTATTTTCAAAAGAAAGACAACTTGTAGACTTTTGGATAGAGGGAGATAAATAAATGCATAAAAATATGCATGATAAATATATGCATAATTTTCATGTTTGCAATGCCTTTATTAATCCTTTTCCGTACATTATTTTGCGGAAATATGAAGAGCGCCGTTCTTTTTCTTTTTTTTTACATTGCATTTCTTTCACATCATTTCCTAAAGACAGAGTTTATAAGTGACACATTCCTTCGACGCATTAACATCACTCAACATTTGTTTCAAAGGCATCTGCATGCTAGAATAACATTTTTTGTATTTTCTCGCATACCTTTCTCAAGGTAAGCGCGTGTTTTCAAATTACACGTTTTTTTTTTTACACGTATGTTCTCAGTTATTCGATTTCTTTAAGGTGAGCACATGGGAAAGCAATGGATACAAGGAAATTTGGAATATGGGAAAAGGAAAAAGGTTGGAGGAGGAATTAATCTTCTAGGGAGTTAAAACATAATTATAGGGGGAATACAATTAAGATAATCCATTAATAATTACGAAAAACAACAAGAAAATAGAACAGCACTTTTAATTAAATACCCGATTTGCAATCGTGCAGCGTTTAAAATAAGTACTCAACTGAATTTGTTTCCAATTCGTAACTTTCGTTTTTTTCTTTTCGATAAGAATTAGATAAGTAAATACCTATCCTGCACGTCGGGTGAGAAACAAAATTGCTTGCTATAATTTTCTACAAAAATCAGCGTACTAAACTCTCTCCTCAAAAAAATCACAAAGTAATCAACAACCTACAACTGAAATAGCATGGACTACATTTTCAACGTTTTCGCAACGTGAAACGCTGTATGTAACATATACACTTCTTTTTTTTCTTATTTTGTCCCTTTCTTCTTTATTCTCTTTCTCTCTTTCTTTCTCATCAAAGGGTTAATGTTAATTATCTAAATGAATAGTTAATATTCTTGTGTTTTGCTTTGTTTCGATTGCATGTTGCTTATTACGAGTGACGATGGGGTTTACTCGTGCCTTCTTGGATACATGCATAACAAATTCCACATGCCAAGAGGATCCCCATTCACAATCCTATCATTCGCTTTTTTTATCTTGCGAAAAAAAAGTATAGCTAAACTTCAAATCTCCAGTCATATATTATTTAGCAGCTTACATATTATCCAGTTCACAAGGTCAACGGACGCAAAGTTGTCAGTGGCTGGCATCCGAAGCTGCTACTGTGTCTTCTATCGGAAAAAAGATATCATATGTAATTAAGTACAATAACAATATAACAAAAACTAAATTGTATCCGTAAAACTTTTAGCCAGACACATTTTCTATGCGTATTTCGGAATTGCAAGTGAACCCAGGATATTATTACAGCAAAATCACATTGCCGTAAATGTTTCATTTTCATCTTTTTGTATGGATTTTATCCTAAAGAAAAATTGATCCCAATTTTTTCTTTGGAGAGTCAACGTGTCATTCAAATATTTTCGATAAAAATGGGAAATGCTATATGTATTGCATTTTAATTTATGTATTTCTTAAGATTTTCTAATAACTTAGAAAATCACACGCAGATCAATATTTATCTTTGGCAATAGATACAAGTCTATAAATACCAATTTTTTGTTATTATCCAATTGGATAATATACGATACGTATTGTATCGTAAGTCCCGTATTTTAACCTGGCAATACTGTTTTCTCCCTTTAATAAGAAAAAAAGAAAAAAAAAGATTATTTAAAGACATTTCTCCCTTATCAATATTTGCAATTATGATGCGACATTACATATTCTATGCAACTGACGCAATACATGTATGGTGTCTTAACAATGCTTATTACCTTTTTCTATCATTGTGCAGAGGTACACTCGATTGTACCCAGCCAAGTTGATCCAAAGCAAAAGAATCTTTTTCGATATTTTCTTGCTCTTGTAAAACGGCATCTTCAGCTCCGACCGGAGAATAGCGAAAATGATCTTGTTCGGAGAGAATGCGACGTTTGACCGGAGATCGCACAGGCTCAGTTTGGACGCTTTTGTCACACTGACGTACCCGGAACTTCAGCGTTAAATTCGTAGACGCGGGCAATGTCACCGCGTCATTCTCCCGATACTCCATATAAGGGCTTTCTCCGCCAGGAAGGTACAGTAAATTTCCTGACTCAGATCTGCGATAAGCAACGCGTTCTACTGTGTTATTCACAGGAAACGTTGTCCCGTCTGCCCAGTGACCATCGTCCTTTATCGGACGAAAGTGAGTACGTGCGGAAGTCAATAGATCCTCGTCTGGTTCTGGAAGGCTGTTTACCTTCAGACTCGAACGAGATTCTTTGTGAGCTCCAAGCGGAGTTTTGCTTGATGCTACCGGAAAGAAGCAGCCACCTGTCTGAGAGTTGTGACAATACAAACTTGTAGATAAGTTACTGTCAATTCCTCTCCAGCACCAGGGTCCATCCGTAACCGAATCCATCCAATTTATATTATATTCTGCAATAATATAATTAGTATAAAAAATCCGTAGATAAAATATGTTAAATCTTTAGTAAATACTAGTTTATTATAAATCTGGAATAAAACGTATTGCATTATGTATCTAACCTGTTTTATCTTTATTGCTACATTCATCTGCGTTATCTTCGATGCTGATTAGATCAATATCCCATGGAATAAGCGGTGATTCGTCAACAATTGATTCTTGATTTGGTGTGTTAGTAGCATAACCATTATCTGAAGTGGGTAAGGTGAAGATTGTCTTGGTAGTGTCTGTGGGCCAAAGAGGTCCAGAAGGAATGGAAAGTGTGGGAGCTGCCCATATCGAAGCTGTATCATGTGCATTGCCTGGTACTGAATTCCAAAGTGCCTCTAAGCTCTCAAACTTCGCCTTTAATTGCGCTAATCTTAATTGATCGAGTTCATTTTCCCTTTCCCGTTCCATTGATTTAGCAAATCCAAAACTTTCTTTATCTTCTGATCTTTGTGATTCGATACTCTAAAAAAAGAAGAAACAAATATAATTTATTATATCGATAATTATATAAAATTAAAAAAAATTAAAAAAAAAAACAGTGTACTCACGATAGACATTTTAGTCTTTTTATTACGAGCGCTGTTATTTTTATTATTGTGCAAATTAATTTCGTAGTTTTTGTTGTTATTGCTATTGGCAAAGTTTTTATTTTTCTGTGCAGGAGATTTCTTGACAGATGCAGATTGCAAGGCTGGAAATGCTGCGTAATATCTAAGAGTTCTATCGCGAGGTGTGAGAGCTTCTAAATTTGTTTTGGGCTCATCATTCGATTTCTTGGATTCTTCTCTTTCATTATATGAGTTTCCTCCTTCTAATTCTTTCAGTTTTATGCACAGTTCATCAACTAGAGCGTCTACTCCATATTTCTATATGCAGAAAATATTCTTTTTATGTGCAATCATTACATAACAGTATACAAGAGTTAGTATACAAGAAATTTTACATCTCCAGAAAAAATTATATTTTAAATAACTTACGTCATCAGCAGCACTTGTCAGACATTGCACAACAGTTCGTCGTTGTTCCCTATCACCATGCGTTGGCAGCTTTGCTTTAGGTCGGGCACGTATGCGACGTCCTGTGCCTCTACCTAGTTCAGTTGCCTCTTCTGGAGGACTTAGGGCCGAGTCGGGGCGGCGCAATAGGCTGAGTACAAATCGCGAGTACGCAACTGGGTCAATTCCCAATGCGTCCAGGCGTGCCTCAAGCCACTGGCGCAACTCCTCCTCGGCCCTCGACCCAAAGACTTCACCTCCTCCAGGGGACGTCGCTATCCCGACCAAATGCAAGGCTGGGTTCCTCATTCCCTCTTAATAAATCTCCTCCTAAACCCAGGAACTCTAACCAACTTCACTATCTCCAGGGTGATCATCTCTCCTATAAAATAACACAGCCATGCTTTCATTATAATATTGTTGCGTCTTAATAAGTAATCATTAGAAAAAAGCCTAAATTGAAAATCTATGGGAGCTCAAACTCACCTATGTACAGTATTTAGGTATTTTATTATTGTCGTTAAATGTTTCAATTTTATGGGATCCACCACTATATCGTTTGGATTAATCAACGAACTTATCAAACGTTTTCCCGCAGTTCTTATTTTGAATTTTTCGCATTAAGTTACTTAATTGCCCCGAGAAAGATTGTTAATGTTTCTTAGAATTTCAATAATCTTGTTTAAAAATTCTTTAATTCTTGGGCATGAGTGGTGGATATATCATTGAAATGAGGCTGGCAGGTCTTAGTGAAGGATAACAAGTATAGTCTCCTTCCCATTTTGACACTAAAAGTTAACAAGTAAAAGCAGTATAAATAATCGTTTCACTGCGAGAAACGTATCACTTTAGTTACAATATTTTTATATGTGTATAATCTAAGTAATAATATAGCTTATATAGTTACACATCTACTTTACTTGTATACTTTCGAGTTATCAGCATCATTCTAAATATTCATTTCTATCAATATAAATTAATTTTAATTTCACTTTAAGTTATTTTTTCTTTTTCTAGTTATAAAAATAAGAAAAAATAAAAAATAAATTAAATCAAGATTAAAGTTAATAGATATTTGTAAAAATCGACATAAACCTTTGAGACACTGTAGACGATATAAATAAACACGTATCAATCATTTGTTACTAAACAATAAATAATTAAAAGGAGGAAAATAACTAAAAAATTGTTATTTTATGTTTTTAAATTATATTATTTGCAAAAAGATGAATCTTTAAAGTTCTTATTACTGATAGAACCACATAAATGAGTTTTTAAAACTTTTAATTGAAAATAAAATTTACAACAAAAAATGATTTAGAAAGTTAAAATTTATTGAAAAAAGAAAACCTCATTTTTCATTATATTATGCAAATAATGATATACTCTCTCACACACACACACACGCGCGCACGCGCGCGCGCGCGCGCGCGCACACACACACACACACACACACACACACACACACTATGTGTATACATATGTGTTTACATAATATCATGTAATTATATGTAGCATTTTACATTAATGTTTATCCAAGTCTATTTAAAGAAATATGAGAGATGTCAAAGTGGTCACAGATATAGCTCTATTGGACGCAGTAACGTTCGGAGTAATAGATATTGCATCAGCGCGCCCGGGGTAGTCGAGAGAGAAACAAAGAATAGAAATCCAAAAATGTAAATCGGAATCGTGTACGTAGGGCGGCGATACGCAACGTCCGAAGATTATTGTCTCCGCTCAAAAGGACGCGTTATCTATAGCTACGTGTGTACGACACGAGCATCAACGTTTCAGGTTGTTATCGTGACGGCGGAAGAATGTCGCGCGTCAAACGCGGAGTGAGGGAATTTAGGCGACGGGCGCGACGGGCGCGACGGGCGCGACGGGCGCGACGCGCGACCGCGTGTCCGGGACGCGAGGGACGCTGGCGGCGGGACCCTGGTCCGAGAGAGGTGTAACGCGAATAACCTTGCCGATTGCGCTATAGAGTTTTGCCTGAGTCATAGCTCCGCTCAGAACGAAAGCCCGTGCGTGACGACGTTACGAAACGCGCGATCTCATCATCATCATCGACGACGACGACGACGACGACGACGCGTGCCGTGTCGCGACACACGGATCCACCGCGCGCGCGGGACTCTCACCGGGACGAAGGAAAAAAAAATCCAGGATTCTCGACGTACCTGCATGCCTCGAGAGATGATTTTTCACCCCGGCCTCTTCTACACACCCCACTCAGTAAAAAACATGGCGAGCTACTAACCGAAGAAGATTCCACATACCAGACACCCCACCGCGTTCCCCCCTCGTTTGATCGTGGAATCGCGAGTACTATTACCGCCAACTTCACGCTAGTAACGGTTCGATCGAAGCACCGCGAGGAGACACGAGGCTGATGTAACCATCCTGTGATATGATTGGTCGAAGTCTGTCTCAATGGCTGCGCTCGGCATAGAAAGCAGCTTTGCAACTGTTGTACAAGTCTTTGATATTATTGGTTTTTACCTTTGGTTTCTCATGGATCTAAATGTATTAATCAATCATATTGAAGAATCTTACAGTTGAAAACTGTGTTTTTTTTGCTGAACGCAGTCACTGTTAAAAAGCAGCTTGGGAACTGTTGTAAAAATCTTTGATATGATTGGCTTTTGCTCTTAGTTTCTCATGGATCTAAACATATAAACCAATCAAATTGAAGAATTTTACAACATTTTAAAGCTGCTTTCTCTGAACACAGGTATTATAAGGTAGGACTCGTTAAGGTACTTTCCAGGTGTTGCTCTTTGCTCGCTTTTAGCGACAAAAATCACGTGACTGAATTGTTACTAGCGGTTAAATAACGATTATGAAAACCACGTTTCAGCGACAAAATATTAACTGGAATTTTTAATATTAGAAAAAAAATTTTGATAATATTTTATCATAATGTCACATTAATCATAATATCATAAATATCATAAAAACAAAATATCATAAATAGTTAAATAGTTGAATAAATTATAAATGAAAATAATATTAAAAAAAGACAAAAAAGATGTAGCTGTATTTTTAACTATGGTTTTTATTAAAAAAGAAACGAACTTATACCAAAAACCGTTTTTGATTTACTGTTTCAATTAAAATAAACATGGACATAATTGCATCATTTCGTGCAACGTTCATCATTTTCATACGTTTGAAGATAAGACTCATTTTATAAAAATATTTTAAATATAGTTTTTCAATACATACAAATCAATAAAGAATAAATCATTTTTTAAATTATTTCTTATTTAAATATTAGGTGTTGAACTTAGTTTCGCCGTTTGTTTGAAAATTTGGATTCCGCGATGATAGAGATGTCTTGAAGCAAATTCATTTTCTCGAATAAGTCCGAATAATTGGAGAAGTGTATATGGACGAGCGTGTGTTGCATCAATCGGAAAAGGTGGTAATCCGATAGAGCCAAGTCTAGAAAATAGGCTGGATGCGAGAGAACTTCCCATTCGAACTCAACAGTATTTATAGTTTTTTAATATATGATCGCACGTTGTCATGCAAAAGAACTCACTTTGCGTCAATTATTGGCTACTTTGGTTTTTTTTGCATCAATTCATCATTCAATCGGCATATAATTATTGTCTTATTCGGTTGCAATAGCTAATAAAGCACGCCTTTCTGGTCTCCAAATACAGAACAACGTCTTAGGACCGTGAACATTCCAACTCATGATTTCTTCCGCTTGAAATTATCGAATTATATCCACTTTTCATTATTTGTCACAATGCGCCACAAAAAATTTTTTTTCTGCCTAACAAGGAAGTCTATGATTGACAAACGGTTGAAGATGGCAACTCATTTTCGGTCAACTCATGTAGCAGTTATTTTTTTTCCTTCTGGATTTTTCCCATGCAGTTTAAATGTTTAGAAACAGCCGTAGTAGTAACACTTTTGACAATTAACACTTTTAACACTTTTGACACTTTTAACACTTTTAACACTTTTTGACAATTCTTTAAGTGTTTGATTTGGATTTTTATCCAATAATGCTTGCAATTCAGCATCCTCAAATTTTTTCGGTTGTCCTGAACTTCTTTGTCTTCTACACTAAAATCACCACTTTTGAATCATTTAAATCAAGCTCATATTCTTTCTGCTGAAACTTGTTCACCGTAAGTTTCAGAGAGCAATCGATGCGCTTCAGCTGCAATTTTCTTCAGAACAAAGTAATGAAGAAGTACATATCGAAAAAACCATTTATCACGCTCTGTCTTAAATTGATTAAAAATATCTCTGTTTTTACAATAATTAAGAGTCAGGAGAAACTATGGAGACTTCTATCGGAGATGAATTCCTTTTCATCTATATTATACGGCCAAAATACTGCGAGAAAAGCTATATAATTATGATATTTATAATCAGAATATTTGCCTGATGAAAGCTACAGAGCGATTTTTGTAAGAAAATGTGTGAAAATAAATAATTCATTTATGCGTAAATAGATTTGCACTATAGGACAATAAGGTGCAAATATTTTCATCCATTGTAAATTTTTTTTTAAGAGCCAAATTGCAAAATCCCGTTCTGTAGCAAAAGTCATAATTTTATAAAAAATACATAGAAAAAGGCTCATGGCAGAATATTGCTTCTACGAGATGATATATGGGTGTACTCAAATATATATCTGCACTATAAATAAGGAATAGATAGTTACATTTATTTTAATTATTTAAGATCTAAATTGCAAAATTAGCTCTGCAGATAGCTTCGTAATTGTAAAAGAAATTATCTTAACAAAATCTTAACAATCTTAACAAAGTTTCATGACGAAACATCGTTTCTATAAGACAAAATATAATTGAGTACAGACACATATCTATACTGTAAATAAGGAGTAGATAATCATTTTAGATTAAGTCGGAGTTAGCCCGTCACTCCTGTCGATCCTTAATTTTTGCGCGCCAAATTTTACAAATGTCTAACCTTCAAAAGACAATTAGCTTTAGCTGCCAAAGCTCCTACTTTTGCACCTGTATGAAGATAGCCCCCCAACATTGAAAAACATAAAGTTTCTATAGCTCATTCGATTGCTCATCGTTTGCACATGTATGCACATTTCGAATTTTCGTTTGCACACTTCTAGTAAAAAAGTTATTAACAAAAATTTCGGGGAGCAATTTTCACACTAGCCTCCCAACTATGAGTAAATTAAATAAAAAATAGCTCAATTGATAGATATTCGTTTGCACATTGCCAAACAGGTTGATTTTTCGTTTGCACACCTCTAGTTAAAAAGTTATTAACAATTAAAGTTTCAGAAGCGAGCGAGTTCGATAGATGAGGTGAAAACAAAAATATTGTGCTTAAAATGATATCAATCGAAAAGTTGTGGCGTTTTCATTCATATTCGGTTTTTGTTTATTTCTCATGTCTATTACATGTTCTCGCTCATCTTTAATATCTGTTCTATTTTGAATCGCGCATCTTCGGAATTCATCCTGAAAACGAATTTTTTTATGTAGAACTGCCGCTCCCCAAGACTTTATTTGTTATAACTTTTTAACTAGAGGTATGCAAACGAAAATTCGAGCCGTTTGGGAAAGTGCAAACAAAAATCTATCGAATGATACTATTTTAAGCACAACATTTTTGTTTCTATCTCATCTACCGAAGTCGCTCGCTTCTGAAACTTTAATTGTTAATAACTTTTTAACTAAAGGTGTGCAAACGAAAATTCGACCTGTTAGCAATGTGCAAACGAATATCTATCAATTGGGCTATTTTTATTTAATTTACTCATAGTTGGGGAGCTAATGTGAAAATGGTCCCCCGAAATTTGTTTTGTTAATAACTTTTTTACTAGAAGAGTGCAAACGAAAATTTGAAATGTGCATACATGTGAAAACGATGAGCAATCGAATGAGCTATAGAAACTTTATGTTTTTCAATGTTGGGGGCTATCTTCACACAGGTTACTTTTGCAGCTAGAGACATCTACTTGTGAATAGCGAAAACTTAATTTATCACCTAATACTTTCTTTGCACATTATTATATGCAAAATACTATTTACACGTTTAATTTAATATAACTTAAACTATAACATTCCACTTCTCTTTATTTAAAAAAAAATTTTAAAATTATTAATTATTTAAAATGTTTATATGTTGATATTATACAAATTAAATTTTACATATATATTTATATTTATATTATTTATATTTATATTATTTATATTTATATAAACATATTTTAATACTTACTATTTCATTCATCTTGATATGATCATTCAGTAATTACACAGACGAAGCAATGAAATGATACTTTTATTCCGAAAATCTCGATAGAACTAAGATCAAAAGATTTCTTCTTTTTCTTTATATTTAATGCTACTTGTTTTTTTGGGACAATATAATTAATTTTAAATTGCAAGCAATTTACAATATTATAAGCATCAGAACGGACCAATTAAAAAATTATGCAAGACGAAGAAAACAAGGACGTCTATTCTTCACGAAGATTTTCAAAGCTATGGATCCACGATCAATGATCTGAGATCTCATCTTTGAGAATCTGAGATAAAAATCAATATTCGAGATCTCGAATGAAAGAAAAATTAATCATATCGATCAATTGGCCGAAAGATATTTTCCTAACTATTTTCCTTTCTTCGAGATCTCGTTCGATAGCATTGAGGTTTAATAGAATCGACAGTCAGAAGATGTTTGTCTAGATGTCTTTCATGCTAATGATTGATGCTTATTTTCAGCGTTAAAATAAATTATGTGATCAAAAGTGACCATTTGAATATATGAATATTATTTGAATATTTAAATATTTTTCTTTGAATATTTAAATTGAAATTGAATCAGAAAAAGAAGATATCTAAAGAAGATAATAGATAAGAGAAAGTGAATATAAGTGATATAAGATAAGAGAAAGTGAAGAGATTTTTGGAACAGATATAGGAGAAAAGCAAGATTCTCATAAAAGAGATGGGATGAGATAACAAATTGGATCTCACATTTTGATTTTTTTTGGTATAAAGCAAGTTATAAGATTTATAATCATACGGATAAAATAAAATATATTTTAAGTCGTATGATTGCTTGCTTTTCAACACACGCATTCGAGGACGAGAGAATTATAACCTTCTTTTCGATGAGTTTTGGAACGCGGGGATGTTTTAAAGTGTAGACTATCCACGGATTTGCGTACTAAGCAGTTATGAGTTATCGAAATTGCGCAGTTCAATAAATTTAAATTTAAACATGGATATTTCGATATATGTTTGACTTGGCATTCCCATCACATTTGAAGTTATTTTATTTGTGTTGTCCATCGAATATTAAACAAGAACAAGAGATATTCGCGTACGTTCCGTTTAATAGAATGCAATAGCATTAGCTCCGAGTCTTTCGGAAAATTATAGTTATTATTAAGATTATATCTTATTAGTGCATATTTTTTTCAACTATTTTTTATGATAATTTTTCATGAATTATGAAAGATTCTCCTCATATCTTAATGAATTGCTCGAAAAAGATTTTTACTAGGATTTTTATAATGTAATTTATACATTATGCAGATTCATAATTCGCACGCTTACAATATTTTTGGGCTTGAAAATGAAAAAAAGAAGAACACTTGAAATCAATTCTTATGAAACATTGTCTGTAACTGGTAAGTATATACGCGTTTTATTCGGCATATTAGAAAAAAACTTGAAAAATATTAGTTAACAAAATATCATTTATATTTTGTTACACAGCGTTCGAGAATCTTGCAACAATTATCGCTTTAGAAGAGTTTAATGAATATTCCGAAAGATTTTCGAAGATTATGCTAGATGGCAGCACGCTGTTTAAAGTTGGTCATCGCTACAAAAAGAGTGAGTTCATTTCTTTTAATTAAACACTCACATCGATATATTATCAATATTTTTCATATATATATATAAACCAAAAAATATATTTTTCGCATATATGGCTTTCGAATGGCTCGTGAATGATTCGACGGAAAAAATTGCGCGCACTTTATTTTACTAGTATACTAAAAAATAGAGTAATTAAAAATATCATAATCATAAAATAATTATAAAATGCTGCAAAGCATTATATATAAACAGTTAAATTTTATGCAAATGATCTCGCTCATTTTATTAGCAGCTTTGTATTAAGACACAAAAATAGTATAATCTTGTAGCGAGTAAAATGATCGCCTCGGGGATGATGAAGCTGGTTAGAGTTCTTGGGTCTAAGAAAAGATCCATTAAGAGAAAAACGGCTCGAAAAACCATATCCAGTTTTTTTTCTTTTCTTAATGGATATCTATTCTCTCTATCGTTCCCTTTTCTGAAGATATCTTTTTTTTTCTTTATTTTTTTTGATATTATAATATTTTAATAAGAAAGTAGAAAGAAAAATCTTGTATTATGATTTATTCTTTTTCGGCTTCTTTTGATAAAGATTCAGAAGATAGATTATCTGATCAACATTCATAGATTATCTGAACAACATTACATTATCTGATCAAAAGCTCACTTATTTATTTTAATGAAGAATGTCCTAATGTCCATTTTTTCCAAACGTAGATTAATTTTAATTTTAATTCATTTTTCTTTAATTTCAAAAATAAAAAAGATAAAGAATAAATTAAACCGAGAATAAAATGAATAGACATTGGCGAATAGAAATTGCACTAGTCCGAAGTCCAATAATCGATTCAATAAATCAATTAATTATCCTTTGCGTTTATTAATTTGATATCGAAGTCTTCCAGTGTTCCGTTCAGTAATTTAGGAGAGAAATTCTCATATCTGTTCAAGACGTAAATGGATAAGGTGGAAACTTTTAACGACCCATTTAATTCACACTTGCCATGACAAAGCTGAAGCAAAGCAATTTTTTTAGTTTTTAATTCAAGGCGAAAATAAAGATAATAAAACGTCCTATCTCAAGAAGAAAAGAGTGAAGGAACGAAGAAAGTTCAGTCGGCCGGTTTTCTTGGCGAGGTTCCTGGCTGGATAAAAGAAACGGCGGGAAAAAGGCGCCGACGATATATAATCTGATATCGAGGCGTAGATAAAAGCCCGGATTAAAAGCCGGAATTAAATCATTTTGGCTCCGACGAATCCAGCGCGGCCCCGATATTAATCCACTGGCGCGCGTACACGTCGACTCCGTTGCACAGATCCATCCCCCTCGCGGCTCTCTGCATCCTCTCGTCCCCTCGATTGTCCCCCTCGCCGCACGTACCGCCCGGGTTTGCCGAGGTTAGTCGCTTCTCCTGGGGAACCGTCGAAGAGCTGCGCTGTTGAGCGATAGGGTGCATGGGGGGTTGCAACCCCGCGCACTGGAAAGAACGGGGGATGGTGAGGAGAGGGGAAGAGGGAAGCGAGAGCACGGCCGTGTAAGGGCGGTTTCGCTTCTGCGCAACCGGTACGACGCAGACGTTAGTCGTTATATACCTGGTTCAACGACCACCGCCCTGCTCTCGTCCAACCGCGAAAAGCTCGGCCTGGTGCGAGGGGGGATGGCACGGGGCGGCACGGAGGGGAGGAAAACGGTCACTCACGATGGTGGTGGAAGGGGCGGGGGGTGTACGGGGGCGGCGAGAACGAGGATGCAGGGCAA